TTACATGATTTATAACAAAAAAGTCTGTTTGTGCTCCTGTCGTTACATGATTTATAACAAAAAAGTCTGTTTGTGCTCCTGTCGTTACATGATTTATAACAAAAAAGTCTGTTTGTGCTCCTGTCGTTAGAATATGATTTATAACAAAAAAGTCTGTTTGTGCTCCTGTCGTTACATGATTTATAACAAAAAAGTCTGTTTGTGCTCCTGTCGTTAGAATATGATTTATAACAAAAAAGTCTGTTTGTGCTCCTGTCGTTAGAATATGATTTATAACAAAAACGTTTATTTGTTGTTAGAATATGATTTATAGCAAAAGTCTATTGGTGCTCCCGTCGTTAGAACATGATTAGTAAAAAGAGTCTGAAATCTATTTTCGCACCTGTCATTATAATATGTTTAAATAAAAAAAGAGTCTGTCTGAACCATCCAAATAATCAGTAAAATCTCGCGCTGAGAAATATGAATTCTTACGTCTTAAGTCAGAAAAATACAACACTATATAGGTTCCGCTGAAAAGTATTAATAAGTTCAACTTACACTTCTGACGACAAGAATAATTTTTCTTAACAAATTTTCCACTCTCTACCATCCTAACTCTTTCAGTCGAGGAAACTACAGCAAGAATCGGACAAAGTATGACTCAATCTCAAGAAACTGCTAAGTTTACAATAAAATAAACGCATAATAATTTGAAAGTAATCATTAAACCGTATAGCAAAAATATTTAATTTCCTGAGTTGAGGACACGCTAACACCTGAGAATACATTAAGGCTTTTTTTTTTACTGGACCTTGTTTTAGTACATTTAGGCTTGTTTTAAATGGACCTTGTTTTAGTACATTAAGAGACGGCTAGCTCAGGTAGCCCTCGTGTAGCTTTGCACGAAATTCAAACCAAAGTTCATGAGTGGAGTGAGCGAGATGTTAACGAAACGTTATTTTGGAATTTTTAGGAGCTGCATCTGATTGAGATCAACTAGCCTATTTTTAGATGCTATTTAAGAAATGATCTATTTCAAAATGTTCAGAAAATATCTATTGTATGAACACAGCGTACCCAACGCGATATAGCATGTCATATTGTTTCGAATTATGTGACAAAGTATTGTTTTACGAATATTAACTACCTAATGGCTGGATCTAAGTGCCTATCACATGCACAGTGTTTATGTCAGTATGTCTGTTTTCTTTTTTCCTATGTATGTGCAGAAAAGACAAGAAACACACCAAAGAATTCATTGCATCATATTTAAATAAAATAAATCAGTAAAAAAGGTCCGAAATTGTAATATATGTATATCATTGCGTGATATTTAAACAAAATAAGGGCTAAAATCAGTAACAAAACCATGATTATAACATATATGTATATTTCAGTCAGACGATAATTATGTCAGTCATTTCCGACCGTATCCGGATATTCACCCAAGCCACATAATGGCTATATTTGTTAGTCGTCACTAATTTTGAACTGGTAGACTGAAAGGAAGACACCACTAATTCTTGGCTATTACTGTCTGATCAAATAGATAAATCTGATTGTTTCTCTTATAACGTACCCACAGCCTCAAACATTGGAGCACGATTTGTTACGGTTTTTATTTCTTGTGGTAACGAGATGCGAACAGATCCAAATTCCATCACGTTAACCATGTGTCCACACTATGCCTTGTGTTTTTGGTACTCCGTATGGTGAGACCTTGAAGGTGGTGGTGGTTCATCCCAATAACGGAAAGGATACCATTTAGATATATGAAGGCGAAAGAAGAAAAGTATTAACTGATAGCGGAAGTGTGACAATAGCCGTTTACATACCAGGAGATGAACTTTGTTCTCCAATAGAACAAAGAACCATTAGATCGGGATGTAACGTTCTCATCAGAAAAAAGGATAATTTACCTCGGATTAACGAAGAAAATGAAATATAAACTTCATAACTGTTTGTACTCCTTCTTCTAGTAAATTAACTAAATATAATTTTAATATGTTCAGCTTGCAGAGAAAATCTAATTAACATTCACTTGCCCTTTTCTATATTTAGTAACAATAGGCATGCATAATCTTTGCAAATCCAAATCTGAGATATATGGTGTTGATTGAAGATATCATGGGCTAAGTTTGATACACTCACAAGCAGCTTTGAAAGTTGATCTGGGAATAAAAGGCCATAACTAAAGTAAATATGAAATGTAGAAGTGTTTGGGAATAAACAAGTTTCTTAAGTCAAAGATCACGGCTTTGCTTTTAACCACTGAAAGAAATGAATATTACAATGGTTATGAGCATTACATGGTGCTATGTAGTGTTGTCTGTGCAGGTTTGTAGTTCATGTGCTGATGGTTCTTCAAAAAAGTAGAGTCCAATAACAAATTCAGCTGTGAAAATACATCCCATTGTCACTTTAGCATCATGAATATGTGTATTAAAACTGTGTATGTCACTTTAGCATCATGAATATGTGTATTAAAACTGTGTATGTCACTTTAGCATCATGAATATGTGTATTAAAACTGTGTAGGAAAAGTTGAATGCAGAATCTTACGAACAGGTGAAATTGGCAAATCCAGACACAGGGCGACAAAACGTGCACAGTTGCACCCATGTGAATTGTGCTGGCTTGCTCTTCTATGGCAGGACCAACCTCACTGGTAGTTTTATATATACGTATATCGTTTCATTAGATGTCGGTGGTGTGCCTGCACATGGCTTATCATAAGTGCAACCTGTCCCCGCAGTTTGTGTGTGTGTGTGTGTGTGTGTGTGTGAACTCGCGCATAGCGACACTGTAACATGATTCTCTACGGATGTTATGCTCGCAGTATTGTATCCTTTGGTGTAATAATATTCTACTCCCCTTCCCCATTGGCTCAACAGTAAGTCTGCAGGCTTACGATGCTAAAAATCGGGTTTCGATACCGGTAGTGGGCAGAACACAAATAGCCCATTGAGTTGTTTTGTGTTTAACAGCAACCAACCAAATATATATTTTATTTTATTTTCGCTGTTCACATCTCTCTCCTCCTGATCGGTATTTAGGTCTTTGTTACCTAGGAGGGTCAGGTACGCGGGGACCTCTTCCTCCTTTCCGGACTGTGAATGTTGACTGTTGATACTACATGAAGGTCGGAGTAAACCGCACTTGCTCCGACCCCTTTCAGGACAATATCCATGTATGTATCCACTGTTACATTCTGTGTTTTGCATTTCTTATTAAAGACCATAATGCAAGTTACACATTTCACTAGTTAGAGGCTAATCGAATTCATTTTACATATAATACCCTTTTAAATGTATTGTTCTTAGGCTCTAATTAGTGTACGGTTTAAATGTCAAGCCGTAGGTGCCCTGATCACATCCTTATTTTTAAAATAAATGTTTACAGGTGAGAGATACTTAGGTCAACTCCCATCATGTATGTAATAACGATCGAGTTTACAAAGTAGGTCATGCTTTTGCCAACTTTTCTCAAAGTAATTTAGAGTATTATGCAAGAGTCTATCGGCTATTGTTTGTATATTAGCGTATCTGTGCATAAATTTTAATGGGGTGCTACGGGAGACTTTGTATGCTGTGGTGATTAATGTGTTTTGTATTTATTGTAGTTTATTTATGTGTTTTGGAACTGTGTTTATCCATGCCGGACTGGGTCGAATGTATGTTTTGTATATTTTAATAATGTTATCAGGTGATGTTCCCTGGGTTTTGCCTATTAGTTCACATCTCTGAACTCTTGTTGGTTTGTTTTTGAATTTCGCGCAAAACTACACGAGGGCTATTTGCGCTAGCCGTCCTTAATTTAGCAGTGTAAGACTAGAGGGAAGGCAGCTAGTCATCACCACCCACCGCCAACTCTTGGTCCACTCTTTTTCCAACGAATAGTGGGATTGACCGTCACATTATAACGCTCGCACTGCGTTTCTTTCAACACTTTATATTCAGCTACTAAGTTCAATTTAGAGTATTTATCTGTTTATGTAGAGTCATTACGTTGAATTAAAAACTCAACTTGAAATTCGTTAAATCGTAAATTTGTCAACATTTATAGGAGATGTCGAAGTTAATTACTCCTATTGTGACGCTTATTAATTACGTACTCACTGTTTTTTGTTGATAGAAGTTTTCTTTGGCATTTCGTTCTCTTTATGTACGTACCTATGTGGGTCAGCGATATGCTTATGAACTTACAAAGCTAAAATCTGGGGCTCGATTCTCCGTGGTTGATAAAACGCAAACAACTAATTATGTTAAATTATGCTAAAACAACAACACAACTATTTCTGTACTATACTTTTACAGCTATTTCTTATGACTAATGTTTTTGATCCCAGCTCCAGAACTTCTATTCTCTACATTAACCTATGTTAGCTCAGTTTTTCACATACCTTGGTACCTAGGTAGTTAGCCTTTGGTATGGGTTGCCTTCAGATGTGGCCAGGTGGTTAAGGCACTCGACTCGCAATCTGAGGGTCACGGGTTCGAATCCCTGTCACACCAAACATGCTCGCCCTTTCAGCCGTGGGGGCGTTAAAATGTGACGTTCAATCCCACTATTCGTTGGTAAAAGAGTAGCCCAAGAGTTGGCGGTGGGTGGTGATGACTAACTGCCTTCCCTCTAGTCTTACACTGCTAAATTAGGGATGGCTAGCGCAGATAGCCCTCGTGTAGCTTTGCGCGAAATTCAAAAAACAAACAAGCCTTCAGATGTAGTAGATGCAGTAAATTTAAGAAAGTTTAAATTAAAAAGATAAGCGTTGGCTTCGAATGTTTTTGGTTTGTTTTATTTTATTTTAGTGGAAAGGCCCAGGTCATGAGCCAACAGGCCCTTTGTTGTCCTTAAATTTCATGTTGCATTATGCTATGATTTCCTTTTTTTTAAATACTTATTTATCATTTTTGCTCTGAAGTAGTTTTCATGTTTCTACTTGTTCATGTTTAGTATATTTGCACCAGAGGGCGAAAAGAAAGCGTGCTGTCCCTCGAGTGTACAATTATTACTTAAGTTTAATCAGCGCCATGTAGTAAAGTAGGTTGAGCCAAGAAAAAGTATATAAGACCAGTAGTCTGGGAGATTGTATTAAGTACTATAACTTAAAAGTGGAAGAAGTTTGGTAAGTTTCATTACTTAGTCAATTTTTACCGATAAAATAATATATATTATTTGTAAGTTAAATTCTTTGCTTAAAATTTAAGTTTACACTAATGGATGTGAATTATGTAATCAGTATAAGCTAGCAACACTAACGACAGTAATACTAAAAACTAAAGTAACTTAAAAGAAAATACTAAAGTGCAAGCAAAGACATATCCTGTGTTAGTACTAATACTAGTAGTACTGTTACTATAGAGAAACGAATAGAATACTAATTAATATACACCAGACATGTATTTTACGTTACCTTTGATATTTCCAGAATCGAACATATGAATTTTGATATTTTATATTTAACATCTGGATGTGTACTTATTACTTCTAATCTAACACCAAGTTGCTTGAACTTCAGTTTTTCTACAAGCAGTTCTACAAACTCTATATAATTTATAAATTAATAATAGATTAGATATTTTATGGTCAGTTTTTAGAGAGTGTCATCAAAGTATAATCATATTAATTCTTTTAGTTTTACATGTTCTAAAATCAGTTGCGTGTGTAATTAGAGAATACTTATTATACTATTCTTAATTATATTATGGTATCATGAATATATTGTAATCAGCTATTTATAGTGCTACAGCACCTGAGTAAAGCTGAGTAATTTAATCAATATAATTGGTTACCTATGGGTGGCAATTACATATGGTATCATATAAAGTAATCAAATAATTCATAGATTTTAGAAATTTGAAGAAATCTTGTGTTAAGAATTATGTATATATATTTTCTGTAACTCAGTTTATCTTTACTTGTAGAATAACTTCAATAAGTTCTTTATTCCAGTGTTCACTATGTAGCATAAAAAGTATGCAACTTTCCATCAATTTCTCTAACATCTAATTCTTACTAATTAATGTAAGTGCCCTTATTAGAGGTTTTCTGAAAGTTAAGAAATCCACCATCAGCAATGGTGTGTATCAAAAATCTACAAGAAGTTGATATGGCAAGAAAAACTTTCTAAAACCATGTTCAAATTTTGCAAAGTTCAAAAATTTCCAATGACAACAGATTTCAACATATTGCTAACAACAGAACTTCTTAGGCCTACAACTTCTCATATTCTTGTCATTTTACAGCCATGTATAATTGTAAGTTCTAGACCTAATTCCACAAACAGTGGTTCAACACAAATTCTACAATTAAATGTAAGCCTAGCCTCAAATACAGCATTTCAGCATAAACTACAAGTTGTATGCCTAACTGAATGATGGATCAAATGCAATAGTGGTTACTGAATACTCAATCACTATTCATTGTTCCTTCCTTGTCACTCATATTTATATATATATATATATTCTGGTTTCTTGATATCCTGCAAAACCTCTTGATCGTTACATCATCATTATAGCCAGAAGCTTCCTTTAGCAAACAAACAAGTTACAACATGGAAAGTATAGCTTACAACATTAACTTTTATTAGGGCTTTCAAAGCACCAAGCTTATAACTGATCTTCCAAAAAAAAATAGTTGTCTCTTTTGCAGTTCATCTCAACATTAGTCTAAAATTTCTATAGTACAGTTGCTATTCTTTTCACGTAATGAAATAGAAAGCATTTACTAAATTATAAAATTTTTGTGTATCAAGAATGTGAAGAACCTTTTAAACTAAATTATTGAAATCCAACTTACTTTATTTTAATGGCCATTTCCTTCTTCATGATGTATCCCGCTTCCAAAAATGTTTATTTTTAAGGTATTAATTATACACATTATGTGGTTACATATTAAGTACCAGATGACAGACATTATGCTGATTGCTAATGGTTAATGTAATTAAATGAAAATAATGCTTATAAGGTTTCTCTGAATTACAAATGTAGTTTGAGAATGATGCCAAAGGATTGTTTTAACTTGAATATCAGTAACCCACATACATTTATACAGCTAGGGCTTGAGAGGGCTTGTTTTGTCTGAAGATTTCTAAACTTAGAAAAATTGCTATAATAATTGTACTTTAAACAAGAATCATGTTTTATGTTGTAGACTACTATAAATAACAGAAAAAAATGTAGACAAATGTGAAGTGATTTTTTGAAAAATTTCGTACACAAGTGGATAGGTAATGTGGATACAGTACAGTAAATTATTCATATAGAACTCTTCCTTGCCAACTGTATTGGTTAGGTTAAGATTTATGGGAATGCATTAGGCCTCTAAGTTACATATTCTCTTTTCAATTTTACCTTTGGTGAAAAAGAAATCTTTAATATATAAACTTTATTTTAATTTTTTATTTATTATTGCTCAATAATTTAATTTGATTGGAAATTTGCTATAACTGTTTGTACCCTCACAAACATACACTGTACCTGATAATTGAAAAATAGTTTAGTATGTAATCAGTTAGTATTGTTGTAACAAGAGCCTTTTCAAGCTGCTTTACATAACAGATCAACTAACAGCTAAATTTTACCTTTTTTTTTGTAGATGGTGAATAGAAGGATGTCTTAAACTGAATACTGATGACCAGATGTAAAGAAAAAATTTGTGATTATTACTTACCAGACTTGTCTACTGCGTCTAAGGTATTACAAAAGTATAAAGCATGTAGCATGTGGCTGTCACTCATCCTTAGAAGTTGATGAACTTTGCTGCAGTTTTTAACAAGGATTTAACTATTTGATGTGTCAACTACAGATAATTCTGCAATGAGGATATTACTGCATGATCAATATTCTAGAAATATATACAATATCACAATGTGGACGTTGTTAATGAAGTACAGTTATTGCCATGATATTTCAAAACTGTGAAAGTCAGAAGGTTCTGCCTTAGAATATTTGGAAATAAATGTAATATTTAAGTCAGAATACCTGAAAATTTATTGTTATTCAAGTTGTAATGATGGTATTTACATATTTATTCAAAGTAAAAATGCCTTTATTTCCATTACATTATAGACTATGTCAAAATAGTTAGACATTCTCAGGTTTTCAAGAAAGTTGTATAGTTTGTGCATATTAAAATTACTTACATTTAAATGCTAGTAAATTCTGTTCTTTCATAAAAAAAACATTAGTTAGGATGAAGTTTACTAATTTGGGTCTTTCCACTTTACATAAAGTTTTTAGAGGAAAGCTTGTTGGACCAGTTCTTTCATTATTAATTGTTATTGTTACCACACAAATTATGTGGCAATTTTATATTTTCTCAGTGGAATGGCATTTCTTTAAGAACCACTACCTTGCATATCAATTCACTAACCAGGAGAAAAACAATTCTCTGACATGTCCTATCCCATTACCTGATCCTTTTGATGCAGCAGTTATGACTTATGCAGAAAAACTGAACCCCTTGTCTTGTAGACAAGTCCAACCATACTTAACATATGTAGACTCTAATGGAACTTTAATGATCAACAATACTGCAGTTAAAGAGAATAGGCTCGATCTCAGCCACCTGCAATGCTCTTTTCAAACCTTCCAAAGAAAAGAGAAGGATGATGACAAGCTTTCATATGATAATGAACAACCACTCTACTCTCATGCAGATCTTCCAAAAGGAAAGGAGTTTGTTAATGTGACATGCATCTATGAAGGAAACATAATATACAGAGGTTACCATACATATATCATCAGAAAGGCTCCTGCAAAACATACCACGGGAAAACATTTAAAGCCGAACGTGTTTATATTTGTCATTGAGTCTCTATCAAGACTGAATGCCATAAGACATATGCCAAAGACATATTCTTACTTAACAAGAACCCTTAGGTCTCAGGTATGTATTTGAAAGCATTTTAATTTAATAGCAAACCTTATTCTTTCATATTATTTTGTTCATTTATGTTTATCTACTATTTTTAGTTAATAAGATATATTAAAAGTGTTTTGTGTTCTGATTCTGTTCAATGAAATTGTTCATGTTTATGAAGTATGTATATTTCAGCTGTCAGCTACCTGGTTTCAAAGATGTCGGTTCCAGTCTGGAAAAATGTATATTGGTTGACCTCAAGTTTGTCATGCTTATGATATATATGTGTTCCAAAACATACTTATTATTTCTTAATATTTCTGGCACAGAAGAAAATCATGTCTCCTATCCCACCTGTAATATCTAGCGTGGCAACAATTGGAGGGGGGTCTCTCAGTTGAAACTGTCAGTGATCTTATTCATAGTGAGATAGAAACATATATTTGTTTCAGTGATGTTCCTCAAGGGGGCTCTGTGGCTGCAATTGAGGGCAATCCTGAACATTCTGTAGAGAAATTCGATTCACTTTTTCCTGTGCCTTTTTTTTATTCTTTTGGCTTCTTGGTCCCCCCTCTGGGACAGTGGTAAGTTTACGAACTTCCAACACTGAATTCCAGGGTTCAATTCCCTATATTGGACATAGCAGATGGCCCAATGTTGTTTTGCTCTAACTAAACAAACTTACCCGACAAAATGTTGTTTCAAACAATGGTAATCAGAACAGGCTTTAAAAGAAATAAAAAAGGAGGCCACTGTGGGATAAACTGACTCTAATTTGTTTTCTTAAGTTGGCCCATCAAAAGTGTGATGTTTTGGGTCTTTAGTTTTCTCTCCATCCACGGACATTATGGTTCATGCAGGAAAGTTTACTGTTCAGTTATGTGACAGGAGAGCTATACCTTATCCGCCATGATTATCGGAACTGCTAGGTTGAAGCATATTCTAACTCTTAACTAATACATCTTCTCATTGAAATCAGTGGTTCTAAGGCAGAGTTTGTAGTTAATCTGAATACAATGTCCCCTGGTGAGACAGTGAAAAATCTGCAGTCTTAAAACTATAAAATCCAACCTGTTGTTTTCCTAACATTAAACTTTGTTGGAAGACTCAGGATCACCAACTTCATTTATGACAAGATGGAACCATTGCTAGCATGCACATTGGTTTAATTGTCGGCTTCTACATTTATTAGACTTTAATTTTCTACTACCGGGAGTTATGGTTCCACTCCTATTCGAGGGTCTCAACCCCCGACATCATCCCCTCAGTACATTGAAATACATTTTTGTCCATATCCAAGGGGTTCTACTGCTTAATCAAAACACCACCTGCAGCATCAGTGATTATTGTATGCCTTCAGGATCTGTATGAATAATGCCCTCACCGGCCCCTCCACCTTCTCAATGTGGAATTGTAATTGGACATTATATTCTTAGTTTTATCACATATCTAATGTCAGTTGTGCATATTTTAGGAAAGAAAATACCCTAATGGCACAGTATACTGAGAATTGATATGTGTATGGCTGTTAGTGGGCATGCAATTTGAATAATAAATAAATTAAGAATAAATTGTGTATTTTTCCCTGTGTATCCAGACTTCTGGGACAACCTGTATAGTACAGATAATAGTTCTGTGTAAACGAGGTGGCTTTTAAATTGATTGAGAATGCTTGTTTGAATCCTGTGAAATGGAAGTTAATATTATTATACACTGTAAGTAAGCAAGTAGCACATAGTAAAAGTTGAAATAGTATATCTATAGGTTAACTAAAATAAGGCAGGCTTTAATTTTAACAATAAAATTGCTAAAGAATTTTTTATATCCAGAGATTGGCTCTTCTCCATCACGAAAGTTTCACAGTTGCTATTCGCTCTCCATATTTATGTTACATTACACTTTTTCAAAAGGTTCTTTAATATATATATATAGTGTGCTTATTTTAGAACCAATGTATTGTCAGTGACAGAAATAGCATAGAAACATTTTAAAATACACATGACCTTTGATATCCCAAAAGTTTTCTCCTTCCCCCAGACATAATTCTCATTGGTGAATTTGATACTTAACTCTTACCTTGACTTGAAGAAATGAATGAATTAGGTTACGTTCAAGAGATTAATATATTATGTTGGAAATTGTGCATTTCACATTTAAGAGTAAAGGGTGTTTTAAAAGTAATCCAAATGAAGAGAATGCAAACTTTTTTTAAACTGACTGGTCAACTTCTTGATAAGATACTATTGAATAGGTTGTTTCACAATGAGAATAATAAAAGAAACTTCATTTCAGTTATCGTTTATTTGATGCATCTAAAGCAACTAGTGTGTCAAATTTAGAGACCAGGAAAATATGGCTCATGACAGCAGTGCTCATATAAATTATTTTACTGTTTGTCCACCATAGACTTGATGTTTTAATGTTGAAAATTCATGTAAATATTAAAAATGATGTTCTACATATTTCTTTTTTTTTGTAATTAAATAATAATTAACTACATCCTTGTGTATCATAAAGCAATGTTTTGTACTGAGCTTGACAGTAAGCTATTAGTTCTTAATAATAAAAGTAATGGAAAAAATATCGAACTAATCTAGCCGATATCACACCTCTAATCATTTAGTAAAATAGTTTACTGTTGAAAAAAAAATTAAATTGTAGTTTCACCTTGTAACAATTCATTAAAAATAATTTACAATTGCAAATGTTTGTTTTGTTAGTTTTTTTTACTGAATTGGTTTCAAGTAAAATAATAACAGGTTTCATAAACTTTGATTAAAAAAATATTTTACCATATTATTCCAAAACTTGAAAATTGATAAACCTGACAGTAATTGAAACTACAGGTTTGATATTCCAGTTAAAGGAATGGAGTTTTGATAGGTACTGGAGGAGAGGGTAAGAGGAACTCATTATTCATGTAAAGTTAATGTCACTATCAATGGTACTATAAATGAATAATAAATAAAAAACATTTACCTCAATTTAGATATTAATGTTCTGGACTGTTGACAGTCTGAATGTGTTCTCAGTGAAATTCCCCTGTTGATTATTTTATCATGAGTAGACTTGATATGTAGTAGTATATATTCTGTAGACATCAGACTGGAAGTGAAACAAGGAGGAATAAACTAAAGCTCATTTCATACTGACAGTGGTACCTGTGTGCAATCTCAGATGGGGGTATTTATTTTTCCCTGCCACTGAGTATGTGTTTTGCCATATAGTAAGCTAATTTGTTTTATTTACATTAACAAACCTTTTTTTTCTTCTGTTCAAGGTGTGATGTTTTTGGATCCAGAAGTATTTTATTTTTTTTAGAGAATAAAATTAAAACAACAAGAATGAAAAGCATCTGACATCACACTACCAAATGTAATAAAGCTTTTCACTATTAATTCTGATATGTTACCGTACCTCCTCTCACATAATAGCTATTCTTGATTTATGCTGCCCCCTCTATATGCACAATTTTTGCTTGCCACTAGCCTCGATGCTCCCACCTACTTTCACTTCTTTACACATGGTATAGCTGCACTGTAGCATACAACTGAGCATGCAACAACCCTCCACCAATAGGAGTGCAATACACCCTCCTAACGCAGCTGACTCCTTCTGTGTTATAGAGCACTATCATCACATGTGCATGAAGGGGACATCACCTTTGCTCCAAATTTCCCTCCTCTCCATCTCTGATTTGTTTTCCCTTTCCATTCCTTATCATTGTTTTTGTCCAGTACATGCTCTATGTTGTTAAGTTGCCCACACTACTTTCTTCTGTGGATCCCATTCCTATCTTTTTATATCATGGAATACTTCCTCTACCCATGATCTTTCACCTATCACCCTTACCAGATGGATTTGGCAGCTTATTTGTCTTGTTGAAACATCATCATCTGAGTGTTCTCATCATATTTTCCAAGTCTCCTCCCACCACATCCATCATCTCGCCTCTTCCCTGGCTGCCAACTTTTGTCGTCCATTAGAAGAAATCGTGGAAACTGGCATGTGGACAACACCTCACACATTTATTGTGCACTACCTACATCATTTAACTGTCTCCAACTATCATCCCCACTTTGGGTGCATCTTTTTTTGGCTAATATCGAAATGATGATAATGCTGTATGGTATAAAGGGAATCAGCTGCACTAGAAAGGTATGTCACTCTCCTATTGGAGGAGGATTGTTTCGTGCTCATTTGCATACTATACCACGTATAAACATGTGCATATAGGAGGCAGGATAAAGTATCTATCGGAAATACATTTCCGGTGTAGGAAAATGTCAACTTTCATTATATCCTACAAAATCTTTGCGTGTGTCTGTTGTCAAGATAATTATACCAACAGGACATTTTTACTTCTTCAATACCTGAAAAACATATCTACCTAAATTGTGGTAGACAAAATAATAAACATAAAGAACAAATTTATGTGTAATTCTGCTGTTTCTGTCTTCATATAGTTTTAATCTTAATGATTTATTTTCCTGATTAGAATGTAAAATTAAGACCTCCATGAAGAGAAAGAAAAACCCATCTCTAAACTTCAGAGTGAAAACATTTCAGAGTAGTACACAACTACTGCATTTTTTTTTTCTTAATTATATTTATGGGTGAAAAGTTTAAAAGATAAGGCTTTAAAAACTAATAATTTAGCATTAAGTTTCTATGGTATCTATTAATTGTTTTATTCAGTGTATCTTTTCCTACAGCTTTTGTAAATAAACATCTCCATAGATGTATATGATTGTGTCTTTTTTAAGGTTTTTCAGCTAAGCTTTACATTTATTAGCTCTCGGTTTTATTTTTCAGGTTCTAAAGGGTCTAAACAAGGTGGCTGACAATAGTTTTCCGAATATGATTCCATTTTTGACTGGACGTAGAGTTTACACTGATCCCCCAGAGCTTCCAGGTGATCAGAGCATTGGTCCATTTGATGATTGGCCATTTGTTTGGAAGAACTTTTCCAATGCTGGCTATATAACAGCTCTGCATGAAGATAGTCCTGAATTTACACTTCTTAATTACCTTTCTAAAGGCTGTCTTAATCAACCTACTGATTTCTACCTTCGACCTCTTTGGCTAGCTTTGCAAGGTTCTCCACTGTGGAAAGAAAGTAGTCAATGGTGTTTTGGTAATGTTCCAAAGTTAAAATTATTGTTAGACTGGATATTAGAATTTTGTAAAAAGCACAAAAAAATACCATACTTTTTGTTTTCATTTTTCATTGAAGTTACTCATAATGATTTTAATAATGCACAACTGTTAGATGATGATGTCTCTCAGTTTTTGGAGATGCTGAATAGAAGTGGGCTTTTTAAGAACACCATTGTCATCTTAATGGGTGATCATGGAAATAGGTAAGGACACTTTGAAATAATATTTTTTGTTAGTTAATAACATATTGATCATAATTCATTTTCAGAGAATAAAATATTGTTTATATTATCCATATTTTATTATAGTCAGAATGAGCTTTAGCAGAATAAAGAGAGCTTGAATTGTATACTCATGGCAACTTGTACACCAGTAATTCCTTTTTATGTTTGTACCTATATTGAGATGGACAGCCCATATCCAACCGCACCAGGATTTATGACCTAATTTGTTAGAGAAGATAATCGATTTCAGGTTCTGTATCATCTTAATTTTCAACGATGTGAATTGGTTTGGTTATTCAATAACAAATGCTGTAAGAAATCTCTAATATATTTTCAATGCCAGAAATTAAGAATGACCATTGTTGCACATTAAAACAAACCTTAAAGAAAATAGCATGACTTAGATGAAAAAAAAAAAAAATTCACACTTTTAATATATCTTTGCATGTTTAAAGAACACCCAAATCAAAATTTAGATTGATTTAAACAAGTGTTAGCCACATCATTAAGTTTATACTTGTTGTAGACTGATCTTAAGAAAATCAAAATTAACATCTAAAACGAGTAAATTCTAATAGTCATTCAAAATTCAGTATTTCTGGTGCACCTTTGTATTTCGTGAATGGAACATACATTTAATCTCAAGAGCACATTTAAAAACTTGTATCTTGCATATTGTTTTTGTCACCAAATATTCACATTTAAGATATTGCTTGCTTTATTGGTGTAAGCATATTATTCTATAACATAAGAACACAAATTTAAAAACTCCAGGCCTTATGTCTTTAACATTCAAGTAAGAAGTTGATACATGATTTCTTTTCCCAGTAAAGAAATATACACTTTGTTGATTTTACAATTCATATATCTTTTGAGTTACATTTGAAAGCACTTGGTGGAAACATCCAGTTCTGCTTTTTTCTAACTGAATATTTGGGTATGTTACATGAATTGCAATTCTTATAATTAAGATCCAACAAACCAGTGTAAAAGGCAAAAATTAAACTCTCAAAGTTTATATCTTCTTAATCATTATTGTTCATAAAATATAGTAAGATAACCTTTCTGGCCATCCTTGTTCTCCATTGAAAATGACAACATAACTAAAGCTTCACTTTACAACCTTTCTTAAATCATTTTATATACTGTTGAAGACTTAATTTTTAATTCACATGTTCATATTGTTGTCTGGCCTAATGGAGTTTTTATGCCACCTGCTGAGTTCATGGCTTAAAATCTGGAATTATCTTCAAGGTTTTTAAAACAGTTTGAGCCAGATATACAAAGCAAGTTAGGCTAGTGTTTGTGAATGAGTCTATTTCAGTAGATTCTTGAGTTGATGATTTACAGAGTCTGTTAGTTAATGAAACACCTACTCAAAATTTATAGCACTTACCAAACTACTAGCTAATGCAATGATTACTCATTAACTAACAGACTCTGTAAATCAACTATGCAAATCAAAATTTATAGCACTTACCAAACTAAATGATTGACAACAACAAACTACTGCATGCCAGATTGTGAAATCAAAGGTCCATGACTAGCATTTGTTGCTTCAAAACTACACTATTCACTTTAAGGTTGTGGGTGCATTATTAGAATGATTATCAAATTCTGTTATACAATTAGAAAAGCCCAAGAATTATCAATGAGTGCTGTTGACTAGCAGCCTTCTATCAGTTCAAAATTATAGACAACTACCTTTGTGCAAGTATTTTAAATAAATGTGTGTTTTAATGAAATAAAAGAGCTAAGAAATAACAAATGAAATTTTTGATTGTGTTGTTTACTTGTGAAGTTAGACCCTTTGTTAATTATATATATATAAAACTGTGGAGCTTGTAAAATTTCAAACAAAGTAAATCTCATTTGGTATCATTAAATAGAATTGACTTTGGATTCTTTGTTTTACAAAATAACCTGAAAAACCCACCAAAGAATAGAAACTGTTAAACCAATATCATTAAGTACTAATGCATAGCAGACAACATTTCAGATAAATAAGCTGACTTCAACTAATTTCCTTTGAAAATCCAGTGAAGGCAAAAGCTAACAAGAACTGTAACAGATCAAAAGAAAATTTGTACAAAAACTTGAAGATAACAATTATTCATAAAATGATAATTTACCTGTATGGCAAAAAAAGAATAGCCTTCCAAGGGATTCCAGGTTTAAATCTATTTTGAAACCATAGATAATAAGAGGTTAGAAAACTTTCTCATTGTATTTTGTTTCATTTCTTTTCTTATGGTACTGGTAGGATGCAGTTTTCACTCTTTCTTGAATGAATGTTTTCAAATAACATGTAGTGGATAGTTACTGATAATGCCATAAATTACTAACACTGAGTTTGTAATGTAATCCTAGCATATACATGTCACTTACATAATGCTCTAGAATTCATTTTACTCTTCTGTTTGTGTTTTATAAATAATTAGATTTTGAAAAGATTGAGATGATAATTCTTTATGGTTCATTTTGCTCAGGTATGGTAATGTTCTTGAGACAGAAGTTGGAAGGATTGAGGAACGAATGCCATTCTTCTCAATACATCTCCCTTTAACTCTTAAAAAACAATACCCTCATCTACAGAAATATCTAAAAATGAACAGTGAGCGCCTTACAACTTGGATAGACATTCACTCGCTCTTAATGGATGTTGCTACAGAAACATATTTTGAAAGTGAACTACAGCACGTGTGGAATACTCGAGGTTACAGTCCATGGAGAATGTTAATACCAAATAATCGAACCTGTGAAGAAGCAGGAATTCCTAAACAATTTTGTATCTGTCAACAATTCTACACTGTATCTGTTGATGACCCCATAAGTAAACAGGTAGCAGATGCCTTTGTAATAGAGTTGAACAGTATGCTGGAACCAGTGTCTGTGTTGTGTGCTAAACTGTGGTTAAATCGGATCATTCAGGCACAGGTAACAAAAGTTCTGGTAATACTTATGCTGATAAAAATAATATTCTTTAATTGTACTCAAAACTTTAACTGAATATGGTAATTAGGAAAAGAAGAAAATAAGATTTTCCCAATTAAGCTTAGTTAAGTTTAAGCACATAGAAAAAAAAAAGTACCTATAAACCAATCATTATGTTCTGCAGAAAAATTAAAATAATTTGAAAAGCATATTTTGTCCGTGCAATATTGGAATAAAATGCTGCCAACTAACATTTCAAATGCCCAGTAATCAACTACGCCAACTTTCTGTCTTAGGTCTCTTTGGTGTTTACTTTTACTGTCTCTCACTCTCTTTGTTATTTATTTAAAGTGAAGTATTTACTTCATTAATTCATATAGTTATACTTCACAAAGTTAAACCCTTGGTATACAAGATTTTAAATATGAGTGATAAAAATAATATTGCTATAATCGTTGAAGTTTTAGAATAAGAAATAAAATCCTCAATACTAATATATATATATAACAAAGCTGAAGGTTGAACACTGTATGCACTGTCAAATATTAAGAACAAAAAACCTTAAATATACAAACAATACCTAATATACACTATTATACAACTGTTTAGGAGTTTGTAAAATTGTTAGTGGTCTAATTATATTCAAACTTAATGCAGATGTACTAATGTATTAATAAAAAATGAAGTAATTACTTAATACAGTTTTAATCCTTTGAGTGGAACCAGGGACACTACATTTTTGATACCAACAGGAAAATTAATAGCAAGCTAAATTATTAAACAGTACTGTCTTGTTCATCCTAACAAAACAAACAAAAATTATGTAACACAACCTAGTACATACTATCACAGCAAACTAAAACTAGTTCGTAGTACCACTTTGTACATCTTACCATAGAATGTTGGAATTATAACGTAGTATCACATAGTACATACTATCATAACAAACTACAATTATTACATAGTACCAATTAGTATATTCTAGCTTTTTTAAATTATTCTTTATATTAAGCTTAAAATTTCTAGATACTTTAAAAAAAATCTTTATAGTTAAATATTCAAATCATATAGTCCTATCTCCAAAAACTGAAAGCCTTTCCTTCTTGAGTTTGTCCTTATGCTGTCAACAAAAGGTGACTCAAAATTTTTGAAATTCCTTTTATGAATTGCACCCATATTCTTCACTCTCCAACATTCCATGTGACTTACTGTGCATGTATCAAGGAATCTTACATCAGCTCTGCTTTCCCATGATAATTTTCTTGTTGTCTGTTCTATAGTTAGATTAGTTAGAATGTTCTTTCTGATGCAGAAACTTGTGGCACAATCAAAATTTCTATGAATTAATTGGAGGTATTACTTGCACAAGTTGTGTGTAGTATGCAAGATAACCTGGTAGTTTTATTGTCAGCTCTGATTGTTCAGTGTATTTTTACCATTGTCCAAACCACTTGCTAAAAATTCTAAGTTTCTTAGTCAAGATTTTGATTCTTTATAATGTAGTCTACACTTGTAATTAAGTGCAACACATGCAGTCTGTTTTTGGACACTGAATCTTTGTGGCTTTTCTCAAATCTCATCATAATGCTACATGCCGTAATACTGGTGTAAGTTTGTTTTTGTTTTGAATTGCCTGTTGGAAAGTCTTGAATTTAAGGTGATCTTCCATGCATCATGTGGAATGATCACCCAAACTGGTGACACTATCTCTATTTCTTTTATTTGAAACAATTTTGAGAGAATTACATGTTTTAAAAACAAATCCATCAGATGCTAAAAGCATGTCAGGATATCTTTCAAGAATATGTTTTATATCACAGGTTTATTGGATCTATAGTTATTCTTCAGTTTCAAGTTATGTAGACTCTCAAATTGTCTCAACACTTTGAGACTGGATACTGCTAGTTATATTGTAATCTTTTATTTGGTTGGGTATAGGATGTTTTTCAGAAGACCGAGTAAAATTTTCAGCTCCAGATTTTGTGTGTGGATCAACATGAGATGCATTCTCAGTTTCAACTTTAGAATTCACATCTACATCAGTAACAGTTAAAAAATTTGTCAAGTGAGCCACTTCTGATTTTCAATCACTTTAAAATTCAATACACTGCCTTTCTCTTCATTTATATCAAGTGATTCACCTATGATTTTCAATCATTTTAAAATTCAGTACACTGTCTTTCTCTTCTTTATAACATGAGCTCTTATTATATGAATGATCAGTAATTTTACATCTTCCTGGCCCAATTATGCTGGTTTCAGTTAGTCTCAAATGTCAAAATTGAAAACATCAACAATACATAAAATGTCACAGATGGCAATCATGCTAAACAGGTATCACACATTCTTTACTGAATATATGATAGACCACACTGCAGGTCTTAAATGAATAACATAAATAATTAATTAAAGATAATTATATCTGATGCAGAAATGATATAGAACACATTATAATAGGCCTGTACCTATTATAGATATATAGCTAGGCTTATTTATATTAGAAAAGCCACCATGCCTGGTAAGCACAGAGTGTGCCTACCTACTTCTCTTCAATATAAAGTAGACAACTGCTTGGTGCATGCTGAGGCAATACCATTTTAAGGCCCCCAAATGGCCTCTCGGTTAATACTGTCAGTGGTCTTAATCATAGTGAGATGGAGACATTTGGTTCAGAGGTGTTCCTCCAGAGGGCTTTGAGGCTGCAATTGAGGTTGATCCTGAACATTCAGGAGAGAATTTAGATTTGCTTTTCCCTATTCCTTCTTCTATTCTGTTGGCTTCTCAGCATCCCTGTGGGGCAGTGATAAGTTTACGAACTTTCAAGGCTTAAATCCAGGGTTTGATTCCCTATAGTGGACACATCAGATAGCCCAACATTGCTTTGCTATAACAAAACAAACTTACCTGACAAAAATGCTGTTCCAAACAAGAGTATTAAGAACAGTCTTTTAAAGAAATCAAACAGGAGGCCACTCTTGGATAAGCTACCTCTGATTTGTTTTCTTCAGTTGATTCGTCGATAGTGTGATTTTTGTGGGTCTTTTGAGCTTGCACCTTATTTGATGGCTTGAAGGTCTGGGAGCAATTATTTAGTTTTCTCTCCATCCACAAACATTGTTGTTGACCATTGTCTAGGATTTTGAAATAATTGTAGTCTGTCAATTATCTGTGGCATATTTATCTTTGGATTGATTTTATTAATTCATTAATGTTTTTGTGTTCTTTAAGCGTTACTCCAAAAGTATGCTCAATTCACAAATGTTAGGCTGATTACAAGACCAGGGAATTTTATAGATGCCATTTTTGTTTTGATTAATCTTTGATGAATGTGTTTCAGAAGACTCCTGAGAGTTATTTTTAGGTTTCTGCTATATTTCTTTATTCCATTTTCATTACATATGTTTAATCTTTATTCCTATATTTTTATGAGTATGACCATGTATGTGTAGAAAATCATTCAGGGTCTGAAACTCAAGGTTATAAGTTGGAGCTTAAGATTGCAGCAAAGCTTTTTTTGGTTAAAAGTATCTTTCTTAAAGGTGTTGCTAATATGGGTTTGAATATGGTGAGAACTTTGTTCACACAAGGTTTTGGTTTTTCTTAAACTTTGATTATTCGACATTTGACTGCTTATGTATTGATATGTATATATAGCAATCCGTGTATAATATTTTATTAGATATAAATAAACACATGGTTGCTTTCTGGTGGTGAGTGTATCAAAAGAATGAGCTGGTAATTTTATATCGGTTCTTTTGTAAAGTTAATCTCAGGATTAACAGAATATAGGATTTTCAGAAGGTTTTAGATAGGGTTATTCATATGATCATGTAATAAACAACTTGTTAACATAGCTTTTTATAATGATAGGATTTGATTTATTATGGAAATAGTATTTTGTTCAAAATTTGTCATGAAAATATGTAGCAAATGTTATGATGAATTTCAAAGTTTACTCATCAAGAATTAAGTTAAGCTTCATACACTGCTATATGATATTATTTCATTATTGTTTTTGATGTATATTGTTTTTTCAATCACACTTTTCTCTGTTACATAGTTGCAAAACTACTACTACTATGATGTGCAGGCATATTGTATATTTTCTGCTTTCCTTTAGCAATGTATGAATTTTAATTTTTTTTATTAGTCTGTTTCTATGCTGTTTCAACAAAAACATTTGGTCCAGAAAACCATTAAGTTACCTCATTCTTTGAGTTCTTAGCTTTAATTAATTTTCTAACTTGTGCAACACTAACAAGAATTTTCCTGCTTTATCGAATCCAAGATTTAAAGAAAACTTTCCTATATCTGTGCTACTTATAAAGAAACTTACCAATGTTACCTATGATATGCATTTAGGGTTTGTAGAAACTATTATCTTTTATTTTTTGCTAACTTCATTATTAATGTTTACAAGGGCATACAAACAATTGTTAATTGTTCATCTGGAAAGTTGGCAGCTTTTACATAATTTTTTTCTACTTGATCAGTAATATTATCTAGGTTTACAGAAGTATTTCTTGTTTTACAGTTTTATTTTGAACTTTTCAGGTAATAATTCCAGATGAACATGTTGCACAGAAAAAGGGCTATATCCATGCTGTTAAGATTCTTATTGAAGTGGGACCAAGTAGAGCTTTGTTAGAAGCTATTTTACAGCGAGATGCTTGGTCATCTGAATATTGTACGGTTGGTGATATTAGCCGCCTTAACAAATACAAAGGTCAATCAGAATGTGTGGCTGACAAAAAACTGAGGAAGTTTTGTTATTGCTTTTCTAGTATAGTTTCATAATGTTAATTTTTTTTATTTTGCCTAGGTCAGCCAAGAAGATTTCAGGTTGCTAATCTAACCACTCACAACATTTTGATCATGTAGTATGACATTGGAAAATACACATTAAGTGTCCATTGTGGCTAATTTTGTTGTAGATTTAAAGATGAAAAAAAAAGAATATATACTCTTTATTTTAGTTACTAACTTTAATTAAACATTTAAAGATGGTTCAACATTTCTGATTATTGTTAATAAATAAGATTTTTCATGTGAAACAATTAAATTCAGAGGTCTTTATTATGTAAAATATAGAACGTTTTTAAAACATAGCATTAACAAACACTGTTTTACCATTGCTCGTGTGATATCGGGTGAACACTGGAAAAATATTAGTTCTGATCACTATGTTTTTGACCATTCTAATATTTTAGCTGTAATAATGAATTTTTCACTTGAAATACTGAAATGCTTCCTTTATATGAATTTCAGGATTTGTGAAAACTGTATTTTGTTACTGAATATAATGAAAACGTTTTTGTGTATATGTGTGTTCATATGCACACACACACACATAAATTGTGTCAAATAAGAAACCCTGTAACCTAAGTGCTTTTGAAATGCCTTTCTTCATTGGGGACAAACTGAGGAAGAAAGGCCTACCTTTCAAAAGTGCTCAGGTTATAGGGTTTCTTGTTTAATCTTGGATAGATTTACTGAACCTTTGTGTTTCCTAATACGTATACATTTTCTTACCTATTTTCCTAGTATTATAGGAGCAGAATCACTATTAATCTTATTTTAAATAGAAAAAAAAATGCACAGGAATAAAAATTCTAACAATCATGAGTAACTTTTTGAGAATTTAAAAGTCAGTTATTACTTGCTATTTAAGTTTTAGAAGCAGGAAAAAATTACCTAACTATAATACGTAGTACATCTGAAATTCTGAGCACTTGTTCTTCTAATCAAATGTTATTATGAAATGTGATTTTTTTTTATTTTTAGTTTCTAACCTCTATTAAATTATATTGATAATTTATCTTTTAAGTATCCCGTATTGATAATTGTTCTTGTTGATGATATTTCATTATTTGGGAAAATTATTTGTGTTTAGTATTCTCGAACTGGTGTATTTAAGTGTGTTACACATGCATTCCAAGCTTTTATTTGTTGTTAAACAAATGTTTAAACAACTCTATTAAATTATGTACAAGCTGCCCAGTGTTGGCTAACAATACAAAGAATTAAATTGTGGCAAAATGCTACAAATTCTTCAAATACCTATAGAATGATAGGTTTCTTTTTTATGAGTGTAAAACACTTAAATACACCAGTTCAATTTTCAATACCTCACTACTATAATGGCTTGGTTTGGTCCGATATTTCATTGGTGGTAGTGTCCAAGGTCACTGATGAGGAGTGGAATTCTCCTAAACTAGTCTGGCTCACAGACACACACACCCCAATAAAAGAATAGACCATTCCAAGCTTTTACTTGTTGTTAAACAAATGTTTAAACAACTCTATTCAATCATGACAGTTCTAAATAAGGATGAACATTGCATATACTCCTGCCAGCAAAATGATTTATCAGATTTAACAACATATTTGTATAAGCTTAAATGGGTAATTTTTTTTATACATGTTTACTTTATAAAACAGTTTAACTTAGCAACAAACATCATAAAAATTACCTAATAGATTTGATTTTGCTGTTTTTGAATTCTTACAATTTTATACTTGTGGCTCTAGATTAGTGTGTTAATTCTTCTAGAGATAAAGTATTACTCGTTATGAAATGTATGTGAATTTTATATTTGTCTTGCTGTGTTTTTCATTAATGATTAGTGTTCTGATTGTGTGTGTCTTTTATGGTGTTATTAAAGATACAGAGGTTAAGCACATATTAAAATGATTTTAGAGCCTCATCACGTTTTTATAGTCCAAACATGCTTTATCTTAATAACAGCTCTGCAACATAGTTTCAATTACAAAAGACTCCATTGTAAGTCTTTCAAGTTCAAAGCACACCCCTCTTACTTGTGGCTTGCCATAATCTATTCAATCTATGAGGACAGTGGTTTGCTAGTACCCATTTCAACAATGACCACAAAGAAATTCATAGGCACTGCATCCAGTGGCTTTGCCAATATATCTTCATATGAAATAGCACGAATACTCATTTTATACTCCTGCTTGAGATATGGGACAACATGTCAAAATATAGTTCATACATGCTGTTCCACCACGATTTTAAATCAACTGTGGTTATCATAAAATTTACATATTCAAAATCATTTTCTATAATGTACTCAACCCTGTATTTATTAAGAAGGAATTAACAATTTACTTATGTCATGATGTGATGCATAAGGTTACACAAGTTTAAAAGTATAATATCCTTATTATGAAACATAAGAATGTAAGCAGGTTATTTTCAAATCAATTTCTAAATAATGTTTTCTTAAATATTGTTTTTAAAATGTACTGAATGACCTACATTTTATTTTGATATATGTATGAAAAGTGGTCAGCAATTGCTTTTGATCTTTTTTTTTTCACTATGTATGTGTTTATTTTCTTATTTTTTTTTGCTTCTTCTTAAACAGCTTTCTAACCATTAATCCATTTATTTGCTGAAATGTTAACATTGAAGTAATAATTTTGTGACACAAAAATATAATTTCATAAGATGTGCTTTAGTGATCACAAATTGATGTTTTGTT